TACTTATTAAAGCTAGACTATAACCTAGTCTTAAGATACTATTATACTAAGAAGGTTTATATTATTAATAAACCTTATAGTTATTATCTTTTAAACCTTAACTAGAGCTTAATATAGAGATAATAAGAAAAAAATAAATAGAATTAGTAATAAAGGAAAGCTTTATAGAACTCTTTATTAGATCTAAAGAGTATTTAATAAAAATCTATTTAAGTAAATCTATATTATCCTATTCTAAAGGTAAGTCTTTAGTAAAGAAAGAATAATAAAAAAGAACTTTAAGTACTAAAAGGTAGCTATTACTATTAAATAAACTATATTATTAAAGGTACTTATAATATTAAGTTAAAGTATTAAGGTAAAACTACCTTAATATTAGGTAATTTAGATAAGTTTAATTACTAAGGTAATTATTATTTTTATTAACTATTATTATTAATTACTTATTTAGCTATTTAGAAGAAGCCTATAAGATTTTACTATTTTAACTACCTAGTTTATTATAATCTTTTTAAAGAGCTTTTTTATAATATCTAAAAAAGTAATTAGTCTTTATTCTCTAACTATTCTATATTCCTATTCTATCTTACTTAACTTCTATATAATAATTATTATCCCTACCTAATACCTCTTTAGAAAATATCCTATTTATATATAAGCTATATAAAATATTATAAAGTAAAAATATAATAATTCTTTTAATATCTTAAAGAACCTATAAAGAATCCTATTAAGGCTTAAAGTATTTTATAATATATACCTTATTAGTATAGACTTTATTTAGTTTATAATAATATTCTTTAATACTATATTTATATTTTAGTTTAGAACCTTATTTACTAGTAATTAAAAGTTATAAAAACCTATTAAAAGGTTAAAAAAGAACTTTTTTATTAAGATTTTAACCTTTTTTTATCTTATCTTAACTACTAGAAAATCTTCTTTTCTTTTAAGTAATAAGACTATATTAAAGCTTATATCTTTAGTATACTTTTTTACCTATTAATAATACTTTTAAAGCCTATTTAGTATTTAGGTAATTATATTTAAGTAAACTCTTTATACCTAGTTTCTTATTTTCTAGACTATTCTATTCTAAATAGTAACTACTTAATATACTTTTTTTTAATCTTTTTCTATTTTAACCCTTTAAGCTTATTTATAAAGCTTTTAAGCCTTTTTTATTATTATTATAACTTTAAGTATTTACTAGGGGGCTACCTAGCCTTATAAAGGTACCTAGAAAGGAATATTTACTAATAAGATCCTTTTTAAATTCCTATTTAAGTTCTTAAATACTATATTAATCTTTATTAAAATAGATAACTAATATAACTTATTAAGATCTAAAGAAAACCTAATTATAGCCTTTATTTATATTAGGTTTATATTTATTTTATATTAAGCTAGGTATATAGCTATAAAGAAAGGAATAAAGAAGTTAACTTTTATTAGCTAAAGGTAGTAATTAAACCTTACTAAGTCTTTTAAAGAATCTAGTATTTAGCCTTTAAAGTCTAGAAAGTATTAAACTAGGTTTAATATACTTAATCTTTTATTAAACTTTTCTTTTATAATTATTCCTTAAGAAGTAATTAATATTATTCTAAATTACTTTAAAATAGATAAGGTCCCTTTTAATATTAGTAAGGTTCTTTTATAAATATTCTAAAAGGGGTAATAAATATTAAAATCCTTTACTATAATATATATTAACTTTTTATTTAAAGAAAAAAAAAGTTATATTAGATTTATATTAGGTTTAAAGTAAATATTAAAGAAATAGACTAATAAGTTAAAGAAAATAATATAATAGCTATTCTTTTTAAAAAAGACTATATAGTTTTTTATATTTATTCTTTTATATATATAAGTTATTATCTTTTTATTTTCTTAAAGGTATTAATATAAAGCTAATATTAAAGCTAAAAGTAGTTTATTATTTAAGATTTTTTATATAATAATAATATTTAACTTAAATTTATTATAAAATACTAGTTATATTTAAGTATTACTTTTATTAATATTCTATAATAATACTTTTATTAATAGTTATAATATTAGTATTCTTTATTACCTTAATAGGCTTTTAAGTAATTCCTTATAGGGTTTTATTAAGTCCTATTAAAAGGTTAGGTATAATAAGTATAATAAATATAATAGCTAAAGTAATTACTTATAAGTCTTTAGTTAATTAGTTATTAGTTAGTTAGTTTATTACTATTAGTAATAGTTTATTTTAAATATTTAGTTTTAATAAAAAGGATATTATATTAATATCTATTTATAAAAAGTCTAAAAAAAAGTTTATAACTAAAACTATATTAGCTTTTAATAAAAAAAAGGTTAAAATTATAAAGAAGTAGTTTACCTATACTCTTTTAATAGAGTTATTTATACTTTAAGCTTAATTTATTAATATAACCTATTAAAAAGGGGAAGGTAACCTATTTACTATTATATTTAGCTTATTAAGTTTAAGGGTAATATTAATTCTATTTAGTAAGCTAGGAGGTTTCCCTTTTAGCCTTTAGTAGGGAGTCTAGAGGGGAGGCTCTTTTAGGACTAGGGGGGGGGGCTTATTAGCCTAATAGGTTTAATAAGGTATTATCTACTAACTAGCTTACCTAGCCTACTAGGCCTTTCTTATTTAGTAATAAGGCTTAGAATAGTTAGCTATTATTTAATACTTTTAGTAATAAGACTTATTAGTAGGTTATAAGGTTTATAATTAAGAAGGCTAGCTTTTTTTAATAAAGCTTTAATATATTTACTTTAAAAAAGTATAAAAGTTTTTATATATTAATTTTAATAAATATTAATACTAAGATAATAACTAATAAGGCTTATATCTATTATCTTATAGGTATTTAATAGGGCTTTCTTAATCTTTATAATAATAACCTTATTCTTACTAATAATAAGAAGATTATTAATATAAATTATAATAATTAGGTTATCTTTATAAATAAATAGGGAATAATTAAGCTATATAGGCTTAAAACTAAGACTTTAAAGTATTTTATAAAGGGTTATATACTAGATCTATAGGGCTTATTTTAGCCTATATAAGGACTTTAGTAGCTTCTATACTTTCTTAAAGTATTCTTTTTAATATCTTTTAAGTATTTTAATATAAACTTTAATATTTATAAGATTATAAAGAAAGGTAGTCTTAATATCTATTTATTTAACCTTAAGGTTTAAGGTAGCTATAATTATTAATAGTAAATATAGTATTAAATTTTTTAGTATATTTATAAATATTTTATAGTAATTAAGTCTTTTATATTAATTAAAACCTTTTATTATATATTAAGATTTCTAGTAAATAACTTTATTATTAATACCTTTTTTAAGTTTATATACCTATTTACTTAGAAGGATAGTCTTATTTTTAAGCCTATTAACTATAATTATAATATAGTTCTTAATTAAAGAGTTATACTTATTTACTATTAAGTCTTTTTATTTTTATAAGTTAAAGTAAAGAATAACTTACTTATATATTATAGGTTTTTTATTATAGATAAGGTTATTAAATATAGTAAGGTTTATTATATTATTAGGATTAAAGTAAAATATATATTAATAGTTTTAGGATATTAGAACTAATCTAATTAGAATTTTAATCTATATTATAAGTCTTCCTTACTTAATAATACTATTTAAAACTAGGAATAAAGGTAGTTTAGAAAGGTTAAATAATATCTTATTAATACTAATAGTAAAAATAGAATATAAGGTTAATTAAATATTTAATAATATTAGTTTAAGTTTATTATTATTTAATATATATAGATAGTTAATAAAGTTATTATTATTAGCTAGGTTATAAATATTATTATCTTTATTAGTAATTCCTAATATTACTAATATAGAGAATATAAAGGATATTATTTACTTAGGCTTTATAGTTAAGGTAATAAGTATATTATAGTACTTTACTATAAAGCTTCTACTAATTAGTAACTTATAGGTAATTAAAGTAATTTCTATATATTCTTATTTCTTATTAATTACCTATTAACCTAAAGAGTAATATATAGTTTTACTTTTATAGCCTAAAGTAAAGTTATTTTACTATAACTAAAAAAGATTATATTTAAAATCTTTAAATAGCTAATTAGGTTATTCTTAAAAGATAATATTATTAGTAATTACTAGTTTATTAGGTTTATTAATATTTAAGATAATATAATTAGTTTAGCTTTTATATTTAATTAAGATATATAGAATAGTTTTAAAAACTATTCTTAGAATTTAATAAGAGGTTTTTTACTACTTATAATTATTTATAATTTATAAATAACTAAGGTTAGGTTTATTTCTAAACTATAATTTATAAGAAGTTATTAGTTTATTATTCTTTATTATAAGGTTATATAATTAAAAAGTAATATAAGCCTATATTATAATTAGCTAGAATTTAATTAGTATTTTTAACTAATATATAATAAGAAAAAGCTTATTTTATAGTATCTTATTTCTAATCTTAGTAATACTATTTTATTAATACTAATTAGTAGTAAAATACTATAAGTATATATTTAAAGAAATATAAAAGTTTTTAAACTAAGTTATAATATTCTCCCCTTTTTAATCTAGCTAAATAAAGTAATATTTATATTCTAAATATATTAAGGGCTAGGCTACTAAGCCTACCCTGGTCCTTCTAGAGTAGCTAGTATAGAGCCCCTAAAGGGGGCCCTTATAGGTATAACTAGGTAATAATTAGTTAGTATTATTATTATAAATCCTTTTAGCCTTATAGTTAAGAGGGTTATAGCTATAAGGCTACTAATAGCTATAGGGCTAGTTACCCCTAAAGCCCCTCTAGGGTTAGTCTATTATATATAATAATACTAACCTAGGGTTATAGGTTTAAACTGTATAGTAGGTAGCTACTATAAGAGATTGGCGTAAGAGCTAGCCCTACGTATAGACCTTGGCCTAGGCTTATAGGCTATGTATTAGAGCCTAGGGGGTTTATAGCCTATCTATAGGCGCGCTGGAGAGGGAAGGTATATTATGGGCTAGGCTCTAGCCTAGCGCCTTCTAGAGTGGCCGGCGCGGAGCCCCTAAAGGGGGCCCCTTATAGGTGCAACTAGATAACAATCGTGCTAGTATTGTTGTTATGAATCCTTTTACCTTCTATAGTTAAGTAGGTAAGAGGATTAGGGCTTACACCCCTAATAGCCGTAGGGCTGGTTACCCCTAAAGCCCCTCTAGGGCTAGTCTGTTATATATAATAATACTACCCTAGGGTTATAGGTTTAAACTATACAGTAGGCAGCCACTATAAAAGAGTAGCGTAAGAGCTAGGCACTATATATAGACCTTAGCCTAGGCTTATAGGCAGCGGCTTATCTAGAGGGTTTATAGCCTATCTATAGCGTTAGGGAGAGAGAGGGTATATTAAGGGCTAGGCTACTAAGCCTACCCTAGTCCTTCTAGAGTAGCTAGTATAGAGCCCCTAAAGGGGGCCTTTATAGGTATACCTAGGTAATAATTAGTTAGTATTATTATTATAAATCCTTTTAGCCTTATAATTAAGAGGGTTATAGCTATAAGGCTACTAATAGCTATAGGGCTAGTTACCCCTAAAGCCTCTTTAGGGCTAGTCTATTATAAAATATTCCTATATCTTTAAGAAATTTAGTATTATATTAGGTAGTTAAGATTTCTTTTTAATAAAGAATAGCTAGTATATTCTAATATAATTATTAATAATAGTAACTTAGTATTAATCTTTTTTCTAAAAAGTAAATAAGGTATTAATAATATTAGTATAAAGGCTTTTAAAAAAGTATATTTCTTTTTAAAATAGATAAATATAAAGGCTTTTTTTTATTTTTTATAAAATAGTTAATATAATATTTATATTAATTAATAAACTTTATATTAATAAAATTAAAAATAAGTTTAACAATATTCTATTTCCTTAGATATTTAAGTTAATTATACTATAACTTATATTTTAAGTTATTTATTATATAAGCTAATATATTAATACTTAAAGTAATATAATTAACTATATAGACTTTAATAATCTATTAGGTAATAAGAATAACTTTTTAATTCTTTATTATAATTACTCTTTTTTTATTAAAGATTACTATAATATCTTTTACTATTAAATAGCTAATAAAAAGTAAGCTTATTAAGGTATTCTTTTATAAAATACTATTATATAATTTTAAAGTAGTTTTAAGATTCTTTATAATAATAATAGCTATTTTATAAATAGTAAGTTTTAAGATAATATTAATAAGGCCTTAAATACTAAGACTTAAGTAAAAGAATAAGTTCTTTATAAATTCCTTATAATTTAAAATATAGTTAAATATATTAAAGTTAAGTAATATTAGTTTTTAATATAATATTATAAAAAGACTAAAATCTTATTTAGGTTTAATACCTATAAAAGTATTATTTATTTTAAGTTAATTAAAATATTATAAACTTTAAAAAATAATAAAAGTAAGTTAAGCTAGCTTAAAGTCTATAAAAGGATTTATATACTATTTAAAGCTAACCTTTTTATATTTATATTTATTATTATATTTTTTAGTTAGGTATTAATATTTTTTATTTTATTAAAAAGAAAAGGGTAGGTTTATTAAATAGAGTTTAAAGTATGATTTTTAATATTATTTTTTAAAGTAATTTAAAAGCTTATAAAAGAAATAAAAGTACCTAATAATATTAGGTTTTATTATATTATAAAAGGAATACCTTTTAATAGTTATTATAATAATTAAAATAACTTATTATTTAGACTTTTTATTATTTTATTATTTAAGCTTAATATAGTTAGTTATAATTATAATTACTTATATAAATATAGTTATAAAAGTTATAATAGTATTATTAGTTTATATTAAAATAAAGCCTTTGTGGTATAGTGGTTCTGTGGTAGGGAGTTCTGTGTGGGTTAGTATATGGATCGCTGGTTTGAATCTAGCTGGAGGCACCCTAAACGATTTCTTTCTAAAAGTCGAGTAGCGTGGCCCGGCCCTGTGACTGACTCGTAAGGGGGATATAGGCGGGGTAACTATAGAGTGGGTTAGGGGTAAAAAGCTAAGAGGTATACGCTAACCACTATGCTAAATCAGCCCTTGTGGTATAGTAAGGCTAAAAACCGTATAAATACCGTAGTACATACCTATTGATAGGCACTATGGTGGGGGACTGTTCTACTACTTAGATATATATATAGATAGTAAGTAATTTAATATACCTAGATAGTTGATAAATAATAGAAGATATAGAGGGATATGAATTAAGGTGGTAGCCTAGGAACCTGCTAACTAAGAACACTAAACACTATTAAACCTACTAGGAATCGTTATGTAATAGTAGATTAGCACGTAGGAGAGGCTAGTTTTTACCTAGGCAAGGGCTGGCAACGGTCGGATGCCACGGTTTTTCTAGCACTTATAAGTTTATCGAGGTACTAGAAGGACTATAAGGTCTAATTAGGGTAATTTAATAAATAAATAAATATATTAAAATAAAATAAGGGGTTATTTTAGTAGTATAAGAATTAAACCTTTTATTAAGATTATTAATAAAAAGATATATTATTAAAGCCTTAAAGACTTTAAAGTCTTTATTAAAAGATTATTACTTAAGTATTAATAAATATTATAGTTAGTTTCTTAATAAATCTATATTAAGTAAAGGTTAGTATTAGAAAATAGTTAATTATAGTTTAAAAGATAATAATACTTTTTAGTTTAAAGTTCTTTTTTAAAGCTATAATTATATTTAATATTATAACCTTATTATTAATAAAGTTATAAGTATATTCTTTAAAGCTTAAGTTAATAAGAGTTATAATATAGGCTTAGTTCTATTATTATTCTTAAATAAGATTTTTTATAGTTTTATTATTATAAGCCTTAGTTAAGATAAAGCTATTTTTTTAGCTTTATAATAGTAATCTATTAAGATTATTAAGTCTTAGTATATTAGTTATCTTTAGCTTTTATTTAGCCTAATTACTTTTAGATTTAAACTTTAAGATATTTAATACCTCTTTTAGTATTAAGAATATAATATTTAGATAATAATAAAATAGGTAATAAGGCTATAAGAAAATCTTAACTTATATATAGAAGTTAAGTTATTAATAGTATTACTTATTAAAGAAGTAAAACTTTAAAATAATAAGGAGAATAATAAGCTAAATATATAGTCTCTCTTTCTAAACTAAGTACCTTATATTTATTTAAAGGTAAGAAGTATTTAAATAAGTAATAGAAAATTCTTCTTACTAAGTAAGTAGTTACTATATACCTTTTAGAAAGGTTAAGACTATAAATTATAATAAGTAATCTAATAAATATATTTATTTAAAGGCTATAATTATATTAAGTAAATTTATATTATAATATATATAATATAAGTATATAGAGTTTATATATAAATTGCTAAAGGGGGTATAGTAGTAGAATTTCTTTTTCTTTATATAGAATTTTTATAGTAAATAGACTTATTAAATATACTTTAAATTAGCTAGAGTTTAGGGTCTTTCCTTTTCCTATATATAAGGAGTTATAAATTTCTTATATTTTATAGTAAATATTAGCTTATATAATCTTATAAATAGTAAGTAAAAATAGTAAGAAATTAATACTTTCCTTTATTTTATTAATAGCTTTTATAATATAAATACTATTAGGCTTATAACTTATTAAAACTAACAGGGTATATATAAGGTAAGAGGTAAAGTTATTATATTATATAACTTCTATCTAGTTATATAATATAGGTAAGTACTAAATATACTAGGTAATAGGAGATTATTCTTCTAGCTTTAGAGCTGCTTATTATTAAATTATACTTCCTAATAAGCCTTATACCCTTTTATAGTTACCCTAACCTACTCTTTTTACCTCTACCCCCCCCCTAAGCCCTAGCCCTTCCTTATAAGTTGCTTATAGGCCTAAATCACCATGCTTAGCTTTTAGGAGGGAAAGGGGAAGGGAAAGGGAAAAAAACGCAAAGAAGGGAAAAGGTGCCTCTAGCTAGATTCGAACTAGCACCTATATGCTAACCTACACAGCACTCCTTAATATAGAATTACTATACTATAAAGGCCTAGTATAGATATAGAATATAATTAACCTTTAATTTTAAGATTTAGTAAATTAGGCTATTAGCCTACTCTTACCCTAGTATAGTCTAGACTTAATACTAGCTTAATTTTAACCCTTTTCTTAAGTATAAAATAGAAGATTTAAAAAATAAGTATAGTTTAAGCTAAGTTTAAAGCTATCCTAACTTTATTATTTTTAATAGGCTAAAAAATATATAGAAAAATAAAAATAATTTTAAATAGGTATAGCCTAGGCTAAGCTTAATACTACCCTTTCTTACCTTCTTTTTTTATTTCTTTTCTTTCTTTTTTTTATTCTTTTTTCCTTTAGTTAATATAGCTAAGTCTAAGCCTTTATTTACTCTAGACTTAAGTATAGTGACCTTTTAGGCTTTTATAATAACTATAATAACTTAAAATAAGCTAATTAAGGTATATTACTATTAAACTAACTAGTAAATAACTTTAAACTTAGCCTAATTAATATATATTAATACTTTAATATTAATATAAATAGTTATAATTAAGGCTAGATTATAATTAATAAAGGTTAATATAATTATAATCTAAACTAAACTAGCTATATTTTAAATATAATAAGTATTACTTTTAATAATTATATTATTAGTTTAATTATAAGTATAATAAATAGCTATTATTAAGTAATTAAACTTATATTATTTTAATTTAAAGCTAAACTATCTTTAATATAAACTAAAAGTTAATTCTAAATAATAATAATTATAAGTTTAATATTATTAATAAATTATTAATAAGTTAATTAAGATTAAATTTAATTAGGCTTTAAATTTAAATTAAAAAAAACTTATTAATATATAAACTTTTCTTTCACCAAGATGAGGAGCACACCGCTCCCTACCAGGAATCGCTCCGGGATCACGCCGAACCCATACCGGAGCTAGGGTTTTTCCTCTAGGTACTCTAGTTTTTTCCCTATCTTACAAGCTATAGAGGTACTAGATAGACTAGCTAGTCTAATTAGTGTAATATAATAAATAAATATATAAACTTTATTATTTTTTATATATTTAATATATATAAATATCTTAAGATTTAAAACTAGATTAAAATAAAGGCTATCTTAATATAATATTAAAATACTTACTAATCTATTTAAAATAGGTAATAATATTAATATTACTTATATACTTAAAATACTAGCTATAAAGAACTAATATTAACTTAATTCTAGTAATAACTTAATATAAGTATTTAATAAAGTAATAAAAAAATAAAAAGGTAATAAAAGAAAGTAGTTAGCTAAATTAATACTAAAATAAAAGTAGATAATAAATAAATAAAAATTACTTATATTATTAATAATAATAATAATAGTATTAAATTAATAAGGTTAAGAATAGAATAAGACTAAATATATACTAAGAATAAGGTAATTTATTATAATAATAATAATAATAATTAAAACTTTATTTTATTTTAAAGAAATATTAATAATATTAAAATAAGCCTAAAAGTAACCTAAGAATAGCCTAAGAAGGTATATAAAGATAAAAAAAAGAAGAGTATATAAATATAATAATAATAATAAAAAAAACTAATAAAAAGAAAAGTTAATATAATTTAATAATTAAAATAAAAATAACTTAGCTTAGGTAAAGGTAAAGGTAATAATAAGAAGGTAGTATATATACTAAAAAAAAGATATATAATTATATATAGTTAAAAAAAGAAAAAAAAGTAAAAATTAAGAAGTTTAAAGCTTTTTAAATATTATAATAAATAAGCTAATTAACTAAATAGCTAATTAAAAATAATAATAATTAAATATATATAGCTATAATACCTTTCTTATTTAGTATAATAAATATAAAAAGCTATATATAGGCTTATATTAAGTTATAACCTTAAAAAATAAATAAAACTATAAATAAAGTAATTATAAAATAAGAAGTAAAAATAGCTATAAAAGTATATAAAAATAAAAAAGTAATAAAACTATTCTAATTAGTTTTAGATTAGGTAAGGCCTTATAAAGAGTAAAGTTTTTACCTATTTAATATAGATAATATAGAAAATAAATTATAAAAGCTAAAAAGAGAATAATAAAAGTAAATATTATAGCCTTTTATAGCTATTACTATACCTATTTATACTTTAAAGTATTTAAGAATTAAGACTTAAAAGAAACCTTAACTATATATAGTACTTAGCCTAAGCTAGAATAAAACTATAAAAGGTAAAGGTTAAATAGGGAATAAGTAGGTCTATTAGCTTACTAAGTTTTATATATTTATACCTATTATTATTATCTTTTATTAAGATAAAAAGTATATTATTTACTATTAGGAATTACTTTAAGATTATACTAAACCTATATTAAAGCTAGGGTTTTTCCTTTAAGTACTTTAGTTTTTTCCTTATCTTATAAGCTATAAAGGTACTAAATAAACTAGCTAGTCTAATTAGTATAATATAATAATAATAATTATAATTATATTAGCTTTATTAAATACTATTAATATAATAATAAAGTTAATAGTATTATTTATATTTTTACTAAAAGTATACTTTTTATTATTATTAAGTATATATTATAAAATAGCTATACTTTTAGCCTAAATATATTTTTAACCTAATATATATTATTTATAAATACCTTTATATTTTAGTAAAATAAAAGTATTATATTTAAATAAAAGCTAATAGGTAGCTATTATAATATCCTTTTAAAGAAATTAGTTTATTATTATAACTACCTTTATTAACTTTAAAGTCTATATTTTTATTTAATAATCTTTAATATTAATAATTAGTTCTTTATTATATAAAACTAAAACTAGTTTTATTTAAATATATTTTTAAATTCCTTTTTATACTATATTTATATAGGTCCTTTTTAATATAAAACCTAGCTATATAATTATCTTCTTTATAATATTCTAAATTACTTTAATAGTTATAAATAGCTTTAATTTAAGATTAATATATACTTATAACTATTCTAAAAAGGCTTTTATTTTAAGGCTTATTATCTTTATTTATTAAAAAGAGAAGCTTTTTTATAATAATTAATTAGGTGCTTATTTTAATATTATATACCTAGAATTAATATATACTTATAGTAAGCCTATAATATTAATAAAATTAATAAAAAGTAGGTAAGAAGTAAAATAATATTAAGCCTAGCTTAAAAATAATATTAATTAAAAACTATATTATAGTTAAGGTAAGTAGTAATAAAAAAACTATTAAAGATATATCTAAATATATTAAAACTAATAAGACTTAACTAACTAAACCTAAGGTAGTATTTACCTAGAAGAAACCTAAAACCTAATTAACTATTATAAAAAAGCTTTTCTTCTTAATAAATAAAGATAATAAACCCTAAGTAAAAGCCCTTCTAGAATAGTTATAAGTATATACTAATTCTAAGCTAAGACTACTTATAACTATTAAACTAATTTAGAATATTATTAAGAAGATAATTATATAGCTAAGCCTTATATTAAAAAGAATCTATATAGATATAGTTTAAAAAAGAACCTAAGAAGATACTTAAATAAAGCTAGTTTTAACTTAATATAATAAGAAACTAATTATTAATATTAAGAATTACTAGGTTAAAGTATAAATTATAAAGCTAATAAATATAATTATAATAGTAAACTAATCCTTTTAAAAAGATACTATAATAGCTACTTACTAGCTCCTATTTAGAAATATAGTACTTTTATTCTATTAAGATATAAAGGTATTTATAAATAATATATACTAGGTTAAGAATATATTTAAGCTAAAAATATAGCTATCTTACTATATATATTTAATAGTAGTAAAAGGTATACTTTTAGTTAAAATACTAAATAATACTATTAACTTTACTATTATACTAATAGTATTTAATAAAGCTAATATTATTATAGCTAAGGTATACTACCCCTAGATTAAATCTAGTATAAAGGTATTACTAATTATTAGTATTTATAATATAACTATAGCTAACTAACTATACTAATAGGGTATTTACTTTAATTTATAGGTATTTAAGTATAAACCCTATATAGAGTTAGTCTAGGCTACCTAGTGCTATAGATGCTATAGGTTTGGATATATCGCGTGGTTCTGCATAGTAGAGATAGATAGGTGCGGCCAGTGCGCGGGCCGAGCCCATACCGACGCAGGTCACAGTCCACCCTGCCCATAAGCCGCCATAGCTCCGGCACCCTGCCCAGGCGGTTTCGTTCCTATTCACGCCTAGGCATATTAGTTCTATTATTATATAGATGTGTATAGGGAAGATCGGGCTTAATGCCTTCCTCCACAAGCGACGCGTTCCTAGTTATAAGTTAGGCCTATGCTGCTGTGGGGAAGGGCCGGAAGATATCTACCATATCCTGCTAAGTTGTTTAGCATACTAGACTAGGCCTAGGCCACTATAGGGGCAGCTTCGAGACAGGCGGGATGTACTGTTGGCGCTGGACCACCCGAGCGGCCTGGGGAGGCGCGCGAGGACGAGAAGGGGGGGAGCGTACAAGCGTGGCGGCGGCGGCAGCGAGAAACTAGCAGAAAGGAGAGTTAGTATAGTTTAGCAGCTAGAGTAGGAACAGCTTAGCCTAGGTAGGGGTAAGGGTAATAGTAAGGGTATAGAGTGTATACTAGAGGTAAGGAAGATATATAATTATATATTATTAAAAAAAGAAAGAAAAAAGTAAAAATTAAAGAATTTAAGGCTTTTTAAATATTATAATAAATAAACTAGTTAACTAAATAATAAATTAAAAATAATAATAATTAAATATATATAATTATAATACTTTTTATATTTAATATAATAAATATAATAAATTATATAAAAATTAATATTAATTTAAAAGCTTTAAAGAAATATAAAAATATAAATAAAATAATTATAAAGTAAAAAGTAAAAATAAATATAAAAGTATATAAAAGTAAGAAAGTAATAAAGCTATTCTAATTAATCTTAAAATAAATAAAGCCTTATAAAGGGTAAGGTTTTTATTTATTTAATATAAATAATATAGAAAATAAACTATAAAAGCTAAAGAAAAGAATAATAAAGGTAGGTATTATAGCCTTTATAGCTATTATTATACCTATTTATACTTTAAAATATTTAAAAATTAAGATTTAAAAAAGACTTTAACTATATATAATACTTAATATAGGCTAGGATAAGGCTATAAGGGAAAGAGGTTAAAAGGGTAGAGTAAGGAATAAGTAGGTTTATTAGCTTACTAAGTTTTATATATTTATACTTATTATTATTATTTTTTACTAAAATAAAGAGTATATTATTCTTTACTAGGAATTACTTTAGAATTATATTAAACCTATATTAAAGCTAGGGTTTTTCCTCTAGGTATTCTAGTTTTTTCCCTATCTTATAAGCTATAAAGGTACTAGATAGACTAGCTAGTCTAATTAGTATAATATAATAATAATAATAATTAATTAGGTTTTAGGTTTTTTCTAAGTAAATACTATCTTAGGTTTAGTTAGTTAAGTTTTATTAGTTTTAATATATTTAGATATATTCTTAGTAGTTTTTTTATTATTACTTATCTTAATTATAATATAGTTTTTATTTAGTATTATTTTTAAGCTAAGCTTAATATTATTTTATTTTTTATTTATTTTTTATTAATTTTATTAAGATTATAAGCTTATTATAAGTATATATTAATTCTAAGTATATAATATTCTTATAATATAAAAATAGGTATTATAACCTTTTATAGCTATAACTATACTTATTTAAATATTAAAGTATTTAAAAATTAAAATATAAAAAAGACTTTAATTATATATAAAACCTATTTTAAGTTAAGATAAGACTATAAAGGTATATAGGTTAAATAAAGAATAGACTAAAGGGGTAGGTTTATTAACCTAGTAAGTTTTATATATTTATATTTATTATTATTATTATTTATTAAGATAAAAAGTATACTATTTCCTACTAGGAATTACTTTAGAATTATATTAAATCTATACTAAAGCTAGGGTTTTTCCTTTAGGTATTTTAGTTTTTTCCCTATAATATAAGCTATAAAGGTACTAAATAGACTAGCTAGTCTAATTAGTATAATATAATAATAATAATAATAATAATAATAATATATCTAAATACTTAATAAATAATAAAAAATATAAAAAATATATATTAAAATAATAACTTAAGAACTTATTTACTAAGAATATTAAATATTATTAATTATTATTAGGAATTATTATATAATAATAGAATAATATATAAAAAAAGTTAGCTTTTATCTAAGTAGTCTTAGGTTTATATTTAGTATAGTAAGGTATTAGTATAATAAATCTATTACTATAGTTTTTTTAGTATTTATAAGTTTATTAAGATATTAAAAGGACTATAAAGTTTAATTAAGGTAATTTAATCTAATTTTAATATTTAATACTTTTTACTAATAATAATATTACTATTTTAAGTAATATAATATATTATTTTATATATATTATAGTAATTTTTAGGGTATATACTAAGCTATATTATTATCTATGGAATATGGTATTATTGTGCCTAAATCCGAACTCTGCTATATAACCTACATAATCACAGAACCACTATGCCATGAAGGCAATAACAGTTTTTTCGGTTATTTCAGTATTGTTGAAAGCCGAAAATAGCTTGTAAATTCGGGCAGCCTCTAGCTACTGTATATATGTAAAGTGACAAGATGAAGAAAGGTACAGGAGAAGTGAAGCGAAGGCAAATGCGAAATTCTTCGTTCTCGTAACAAATAATGAGCCAAGACAGGCATGTGCTCTCGACATGAGCGACCAGTCTGGCTACAATGCCATCACTCGTGGGCAAATATGAATGACATGACCAGCACCCGTGCGCGAATGACATGAGTGCCAAGTAGCACAGGGCCCAAATGCCTTTTACCAGCCGCCGCTCCAGTTGTTCCAGTTGACCCAGCCAGGCCAGCCGGCCCAGGGGTCGCCGCCGTTGCCGTTGTCGCCGGGGTTACCTCCGGGGTTGCCACCGGGGGGGTTGCCACCGGGGGGGTTGCCACCGGGGGGGTTGCCACCGGGGGGGTTGCCACCGGGGTTACCTCCGGGGTTGCCGCCCTGAGAAGTAGTCAGAGTGAGGCCGTAGTTCTGCAGAATCGGGCCGATGGGCTGGAAAATGCTGTAGCAAGGACCGCCGGGGTCCTTGGGACCACCCGACAGGACACCCTGCGCGTGGCCTGCATTCCAGAAAGAGCCGCCCGAATCACCCTGCTGAGAGCAGGCGTCGGTCTGGGTGAGGCCGGCGACGACCTGGCCGGGCCCATACTGGACAGTCTTTCCCATCTCGGTGATGGTGCCGCACGAAACGCCCGACGTCTGGCCAGAGCGGCAGACAGCGGCGCCGATGGGCAGCTGCTGGCTGTCCTTGATCTCATAGCTTTGACCAAAGCTGTAGCCGTTGACCGTCGGGGCCACGGTCGTTCCCTGCTCAGTCTGAACGTAGCTCATGTCCAGCCCGCCAGGGAAGTTGGATCGCGCGAAGCGCCCAATGACCTGGCCGTTGACCGCGGCAGTAGAGCCGACCTGGCCGCAGTGGCCAGCGGAAATGAAACCGCCGTTGACCGCGAAGCCAACTGAGCAGAGGAACTGGTTGTTGATGCCGTAGCTATCACCGCCCTGGAGCTGGGCGTAGGGGACGGCGTAGTCGTCAACCTTGCGCACCTCGTACTCCTCCGCGGCGAGCCCAGCGTCCTTGGCCATTTTGTCGGCACTGTCCTGGTTGCCGTTGACAACCTCAAAGACGATCTTGTTGGAAGCGACATCGACAAAGTACGAGGCAATGTCGGCGTAGTTGCCCAAGTCTTCTCTGGCCTTGACGCCGGTGTCGTCCGAGGCAGTCGCATTGCCTTGCTTGATCATGGCGTCGTCGAAGCCCGCTTTGATCTTCTCAAGCTTGGACAGGCTGTTGCGCATCATGATGGGAGTGCCGCCAGCAGCAGTTACATGCTCGGCCGAAGCCTTATCCGTGACGCCGATGCGGACCTCGTCGCCGTGGAGCCAGCCTCCGGCAAATGCATCACCCGTCGACCGGCGCACGTTCTCAATGACGTCGGCGGCCTTTTGGTCTCTCTCCACACGGGCCATGGACTCCCGAGTGTTCAAGCCGAGATCGCGCTTCATGGCGGCGAGAATGTTGGGGTGCATGCTGTTGGCCATCTTCTGGGGGGCACCGTAGGCGGCGGGCAGGACAGCAGCAAGGAAGGTAAGAAGTTTGGTGAGTTCCATGTTGAAAAGAAAAGGATCGAAAGCTGCTCTGCGGCTATATATAAATGAATCGAAAAAGGTAAAAGAGTGTCAAGAAAGAAGCGAATGAAGTGAAGCGAATTGGGCTGCTGATTCTCTTGTCAATGACTGGGCGAATGACGGCATTATTATAGACATCTCGACTCTCGCCATGTCGCATAGACTTCGGTCGTCATCCCGCTTGGCTATACAATGTAATGGCTGTAATATGGCAGACCGCTTCATGCCAAAGTGAAGGGATCGTATGTCCGCAACTTGAACATGCCCCTGTGCGGATGGATGGCCTCCTTGACAGCCACATTGGATGAGAGCAACACCACTCATTATCCATTTCAATCCTCCTTAATTTCTTTATAAACAACCTGCATGATTCCTTCGCTCTCAATGGGCCATTTGTTTTTAGTACCAATATCTACATCGGACGTTGTATCACAAAGTCTCCGCAGTGGACGACGACAGCTTGTATGCTTAAAACTGGCGTTGAGCCCTCGACGTTGACACATGCCTAATTAGGAAGGAGAGGCTATGCTCAGCCCCCTCAATGCTCTCCACGGATGGATTCTCGGCCAGGATGGCAAAGTGTGACAGGTCAAGCTCCTTTGTGTGTTTCATCGTATTAGCGAGTCAGTTTCGGCCTATTAGCATGATTCAGACTGTATGTCCAGGCTCCGTGACTGGCCTTACCGTCACTTTTGCCTTGTTTATTCTACTGGCTGATCCAATTGGGAAGGTACGCCGGTGCTTGAAACTGCCAAGATACAAGCGGCTAATTCTGCGCATAGCAAAGCCTCACACCCACAGGAACCTCTGCAATTCGGATTTTCCGATTTGCGCATAGTGTCTAGTTCTTTGGTTATTTCGGCGGTAATATATTGATATCTCATGTAACCTCGTCCACTTCTTGTTGAAGTTGTTGGGTATCATATCTGCTACAGCTCCAGCCTCGTGGCATTTCCACTGATGCAACCGGATAATGTTACCCGAGCGGCGAAGTAGTCGGCAACCTTTACGTCCTATAATGCCCCCCTTTGACCTATAATTGACAAATGCGCTATTCATTCTCGAAGGACCTTTTGGGCACGCTTTCGTTCGCGTGACCATGACCATGACCAGGCCCTGAGTAGCTAACACGGTATGTCACAAGTTAATGCACAGCGGCGCTACAGTTCTCCTAAGTGGGCTAAATACCATTATGCTGGCAACGATGCTTCGCCATGCCCTCCGCGGTTGAGCTGGGGTGGCTGCTATTCTCCCGTCTGCATAGGCTGATGATCGATGAAGACATGATACATCGTCACGATCCACAGCCACAACTCAGGCAGACGCTGGCGGCCCAGCTAAGCTATCATAGAGGTATTGTATATATTAATATGCGACGACGTAAGGTGAAAGCCCACAAGGAAAGCCAAGCTCCGGCGTGCTTCGGTTCTCGGCTCCATGCTTGAAGCCACTTTCGACGGCACCTTGACATGACCAATCTTGCTTCTCCAAAATCAAGTTCAGGCGTACACTTACCTGACCCTCCAAAAGTCCCGTCAATTCTTGTGCACACCCTAAATCCGGAGGGAAGCGTAGTCGCAACGTGCATTGCATCGACCGTGCATTGACCGTGCATCACTCATGCCATAACCCTGGAATCTGACAGCGGCAAAGCGATTCAAGGGTATGTTTTCCCTTGAAACGAATCGTATTTAAACAAGCTAGGTATCTGACGTGCGCGAAACATTCTAAAAGCGCTCGCAGCAGGCAACGAATGACGCGCTACCACCACCAAGGCCACCAAGGCCACCAAGCAGCAAGCGATGCACAAGTTTTGATGTAGCTCCAACCGGGCTGCGGTGAATGCAAGACACCCAAGAACAAGTGGCAAGTATAAGATTCTCTTCTCATAGAACTAGTGCCTACGAAAGTCGCGGATTTGCTTGGTCTACCGGTTTAAGTGACACAACTCATGACCGACATGCATTCCAGTCCTGAACCACCTACCAACACCGGCTCTAAGCCGGTACGCAGCAGCGCCTTCTATTACTGACACCACAGGAGCGATGGGTCGATCATCTTCCATATCGTCGTCTCCCACCGTCTCTGGACTAAGTTGAATGCGTATCTCCTCGTGCGGGTGGCAACGCGTCACTATGCCTCGAGCGAGACCGTGCTGGCCGATAGTCTTCCGTCGAGCCCGCAATACCAACCGCCGCCGTACGCAGACGAGGCGCAGTCCTGGCCGCCGGAATTCCACGACGAATTCCTTGAGCGCGAGAAGAGGCACTGGGGACCGCCACCCAAAAAGATGCTCGTGGTGCGGCTTTGTACGTCGGTGGTCATCGCCTGCATCGTCGCTGCTGTGGTGGGTCGAATAGATGACACGCAGATGAAGAAAGGGCAAGACGCCTAGGACGCTGCCTCCTACAGGCGAGCCTCGAATATATCTACGTATAGGTTGTTCTCTCCCTTTGTTAACCCGCCAACCTATCTGCCAGCGCTAATGGTACCCGGTACACTATGATGGCTGACGGGATGAGCCCACGAAGCACATCTACGCCCTCGACCCCAAGCTGACCGCGACGACAGCGACCACAAGGTCGGTGATGCCAAAGGACACAATAACAGTCTGCATCGCGAGGCCGACCGGTACAAGTGCTGTTACATACAGCTACGTGCAGACTCTGCCACCAGCGCAAGGGCAAAGTCCAGCAGTAGAGCGGTCAACGAGACCACGTGTGGCTTGACGGTGCCACTCCGCGACGCATCCAGTCAAGCAAGCAATGAAGCATCGTCGACACATCACTCTATTCCTTCAAGGGATTGCATCATTGCGGGAACTGTTTATAACGTGTCGAACAGCACGTTGGACTATCGCTGTTCGCTGTCGTGCACGGCCAGGCATTGACCAGCTGGAAGATGGATGGAGCTGGCGCTGTGGTTGAGCGCCAACTGATTCTTCGTGTGTGATTGGCATAGAAAAATGCACCAGAATGACCTGTGAATGTTCGTGACTCATCCCGTAATTTTCCTAATTCTCGTGATTAAGAGACATTGATGAAGAGGAGCGTTTGGAAGCCTGTGTACCATGCCTAAAGAAAATTGTGGTGTACGTGGCGCAACGCTACTCATCCCCGAGCTTGACCGATATGCTTCCAGAACTCGTGCCCACGTCGGTGTGATGCACCGGCGTGCCCTTGACACCCGTTACTCTGTTTCGGCTCCTGTCCGTCTCGACGCCGTCCCCCGTGACCGTGATGCTGCCCGAGTTGCTATGCGCCTCCACCGTGCCCTCCCACACGCCCGGATACGCAACCCGGACGCTGCCGCTATTCGACTTGTGTTTGCACACAAAACCCGTCTCCTCAGCCTTTTCCGCGCCGATCTTGTCCTCGTCTGGCGGAGCAACGACGGTAATATTCTGGGAGCCGCTGTTGGTGCTCGTGGCGAAATCGGACCGCCGGTCGCGGCTGTGATCGGTCAGAAGCGCCGTCAGGTGGTGGGAGCCGCTGTTGGACTTGATGATGGTGGACCGCGTCAGGCCGAGCACGCTGCGGATGCTGCCGGACGATGTCTGCAGAGCGACGGCGCAGTCGCGGCTGGGAAGGTGCACACGCGAGCGGGCCGCGTCGAGCTTGGTGTTGATGCTGAGCGTGCCAGAGTTGGACTTGATGGACAGCTTCGTGTCGTGTGCGCCCTTGCTGTACAGCGGCAGCAGAGCGATGCTCACAGACCCGGAGCTCGTCGAAACGTCCAGCACATCTTCCATGGGCACCAAGCCGCTAACGCCGCCGCTGCCGCTCACCACAACCAGCTCCCGCGCCGGCACAAAATCGACGTCGGCGAGCGACAGGTGCGCGCGCCCAGGCGGGACGCTCGGCACGTCCAGGTCAAACTTGATGGTGTAGTCGCTCGCCTGCAGGGTCAGCTGCGCGAGGCCGACCTCTTTGGTGCCGCGGGGCCAGCGCAGGTAGATCTGCACCGGCTCGGCGCTGGCGGTGGTGATGACGACGGTCTGCGCCTTGTCGGTGGCGTCGTTCTGGACGTCGGGGGACGATGCGTGCTGGTCGCTGCAGACGTCGAGCACGGCGGGCGCGCCGGCGGGCACGTGCTGGACGTGGATGGTGCCGGAGCGCCAGCCGCTGGCGAGCGACTGGAGGGTGCCGAAGAGGCCGCTGCTCTTTTGCTTTTGCTGGATGTGCAGCGTGCGGTCGCGGCCGAGGCTGAGGGGGACGGAGATGAGCGTCTCCATGGTGGCGCGCGGCGATGTATCTTGTGATTGCGTGAGCTGCCTGGATAGAAGCGGACGATGGGGTGTTTGAAGTGGTATATAAGCACAACTGATGAAGACGGATGGTTGGGTGGCGTACGTGGCTCCGCGTCACCAGCTGAATAGGCTACGCAATCCCGTCGGCTACCCGCTGTACCCGTCGCAGGGCTGAGCCGAATAGGAAGGTCTTGAGGGTATTAGAGTGCGTACTGCAACGCGTAGAAAGGGCGTGGCGTCGTTTGTAGACGAGATGGTCGTTTGCTGGGTGGCTTTGGTCGTCTATTCCGCTGACAGAGTGAGCTGATTTGCAATGACGACTTCTGCCGACTGCTCCGTAGGGCTAACGAGGCTCCGAGGGTGACGCTTTCTTTGCCATTTTGTCACTTTGATCAAAAGTGGTGATTTAGTGATGAGCTGTTGCGAGTGCTACAATGTCTGGCTGCCACTGCAGGGTGGCACAAATTGGCCCATATTATCACTACCTAAGGTACCTAGCTAGCACAACCAGCACTATTTTACCCACGTTCGCTCTTATCGCACAGAGAACTGCTACATATGAGGGGCCATTTTATCGCATAAGCTATATTATTTACTTATTTATTGATATACACTAATTGGACTCTTAGTTGTCTTTCCAGTACCTCAATTGTCTGTGAGCTATGTTAGGTGCCATCTTATGTAACTACCTTGGTACATATGCTCCACAGTTCCCCCCCCTCCGACTCTGGCCTTTTCCAGTCCCAGTTGCCGTCGGGCTGGTGACAGACCTCGTTTCTGCTATTGCTACTACTCCCACTATTTCGAAAATAGGAATGGCTGGCCATTTCCTGGCTCGAGCAGGGCCCCCCGAGCTCCTGCTGTGCATTCTCCAACTCTTAGAATCCCCTCGCGACATCCTCTCCTTTGCGCTGACATGTCGCTTCATGTCCGAAGTATGGCACGCGAACGGTGCAGGCTATACCGTCGTCTGGCGCCTCTGGTCGCGTGAGATGCCGTATGCTGAAGAAGCCCTAATTTTGGTACGTGGCATCTGTCTGCAATCGGCAGAAGAGCCACGGAATTGTTTACTCAGCTGACTTGGTATACATAGGTCCGTGCTGCCAGAGTCGTTGCGGATGCAGAGCAGAAAGGGGAACTACCACCAAAGAGAATGAAACTGCCTCGCCTGTGGGCTGACAAACACCCCGGGCCAAATGCGTCTGAGCTGCATGCAGTGTGGCAAATGCACCATTACACAGAGGCATTGACTCTATGCTTTGAGATGGGCAACTACAAATACCCAAAGGACCTGCCATGGGATGTTCAACCGGAAAAGGCCAGCCGTGTGGCAGAATGGCGGGACGGCGTGCAGAGAGCAATCTATCGCTCTCTGATCATTACCACGGCACTTGTGGGGGCGTACACCGAGCCGTTGTTCGAGGCGCAGGAGAGCCATACCGAACAGTTGAGTACATCAACCGCCAACAACAAGCAACAGTTTTCATCTCAACTATTGAAGTTTGTGCATGGCTTCCCCATTTACAAATTGCAGCCCACCCCAGACGATCAGAACCAACTCTTTGGGTGTCTCGCACAGTGGCTACTGGAGCACATACTTGCAGATACGAAATCCAGAAAGGCCATGGAAGAGAGATTTGAAAAGGCGACCGGTCGTGCTAAGGAATGCCAGCTACGAGGCGACTGTCCGTTGAAGCTTTCTAGCGGCAAAGGTAGCCACTCTGACGCCCATGTGGTTGCACTCGAAATTATGAGAGTCCTCTGGATGTGCGAGAACATCACTCGAAAAGTCACGTTAAAAAACTTGCGTGGCAAGGAGGACAAAATAATGCACAATATCGGCCCTGTCGCTCTCTTCGGGAAATTCAGCTTATGGGCGATCGATTATACAGACTCGGCTGATGCTGGTTGGTTTGGCACACAGTTCATCAGCTCTTTCTTCCACATGCAAGGAAACAATTACAAGAGTAATATCGAGGGCCTTTTGGAGTGCGTTCACGCATGCTCAGGAGAGCCCAATTACTTCGAAGCGAGCGGTGCGCCGACGACACCGCTAAGGCTCAAATTTTTCGAGTATTTCCTCCGACACCACGTCAGCGCGGCCTTTTGTGACGACTTCTTCATCAACGACCCCAGCGCATTAATTAACAGTAACCTGGATAATTTCCTCTACTGCGCTACACTATTTTCATTGGATGATGAGGAATCCCGGCAGCGCATGGATGAGGAAGGACCTGTCCATGGCTCGGGTGACCTTTTGATCGCTGATTTTTTAGACGGCTCTGAAGTTCTGGCTAGCTCAGCTTCTAGTCCAACCTTGTATTACGATAGAAAGTCGCCCAGCCCAACATACCACCAAAACTAACGCCTTTCCGCAACATTTATCGCATCTGTCGACACAGATGAACTCGGCACCGACTCACGAGGCTGAGTTCATTTCGAGATAAGCGGTGACGTGGTCTCGACTCCAGGGACGTTTGTGCGCAACATTCGTATCACGCAATGCAGTGAGATATCGTAGATAAACAGTTGACCAAGGAGGAAAGAAGCTGCCTAGCCCAGGGGGCCTTATGAGGGTCGGTACCTCTCTGCTGGTGCAATCCACACCTATTTGTGTGTACCTTTTTCCTTGTGTTGTCCGAGCAACCCCCCTGTTTACGTCAGGCCCCAAGCAAATCAAGCTTCTCTACCCAATACCAACTAATAGACTGGATTGTAGTCTTCAACATGCCACTCTCATCACTCAAGGGAATCTACCGCAATTACAAGGCCGACACCGACGTTGTCGCCTCATGGCTCGCTACCACGGCCGAGCAGCACGGCTACCGTGTTGGTGGCGCATCGGCCGCCAATCCTGCCGCCACAGGAGGCAGACTGAAGGGAAAGGCGCGGAAGCAGGCAAAGGCAACCGTTCCCGCACCAACCCACGGTGCGAGTATAGAGAACAAGGCAAAGCACATCATCAAGGTGCGTGATTTCGAGGCCTTGGCAGTCTACATTGCCGGCCTCGGCAGCACCGTCCGCATCCCGAGCTTCTTCACCGAAGCTCTACGCCGTGTTATTTCTGTGCGCAGGAGTTTTGCGGAACACCTTGCTTCGGCGGGCGTCAATATCACCTTAAGATCAGAAGTGACGCATTCCTATTTCGTCGAGCAGCTTGAAAATGTCTGGCAGATCCTGTCGCCGGCGGTACATATCACAACAGCTACGGCCAACGCGACAGTGACGAGCCAAGATGACCGAGACGAGCAGGGCAACATTCGAGCAAAGGCTTCAGCGAGCAACGGCACTATTGTCAGTAGCATATTCTCCGCGCTTAGAGTCTATCATCCGTCAAAGAAATTCCAAGATGACGCGGACGTGCCTCGACCTGCCCCAGTAGAGACGACGTTTGCAGCCGAGCAGGGCGACTCTGTCCTCGACATAATATTCGCCCTTACTACGCTGCTAAATGATTATGCCGACATCCGTGCCGAGATTCGCGCCTTGTGGACGGAGCACGCGTCTGGACGCCTTGATCTTGCCGCCGCCTCCGTCGCCACCAATACGGCCATCGAGATGGCTCGCAGCATGGAAGACGAGATGACAGCACTTTTCAACAAGTCTGGCGGTACGCACAAAGTCACGGAATCATACTTTTACTCTCTATGTAAAGCTTCGGGCATCGATATACTGGACAAGGAGATGCCGCACGATCCTTACAACCTCGCCGCATACGACATGGCCGACGTTTGCTTGATTAACATGCTGACACTTCTGGCGAGCTACGCCGCATCGGTAGACCCCCAAGGGACCTTCCTACAGACCTACAACGGAAAGTTTGGCTGGTACGACGAGTCGCTGGGCGGTAAAGCGCAGACGAAGCGCCAGCAGTGGAAGCAGGACATGACAGCGGTGCTCCAGCTGATGCCGGATCTGAACTTCCTGGTGCGCGCACTGGGCCACCTGTCAGTAGTGGACGAACTGACGCGTGGGCTGGCCTATGTCATGGACGATGGGAAGAGGAGGGCCAAGCTTTGGCTTGCTTTTGCGCTGTAGATATACGTCGACATTCTGCACGACTTTGTCCCGGGCTGCGATGGCCTGGGTGAAATGCAAGCAGAGATGCGTGGGATCAAACATGCGATGCTTTCTGTGCCGGCTTCAGACCCGCATCGCGCGACCGTTCTGCGCGCCGCTGGGCTCTGGGACACGGATCCGATCTGGGCGGCCGTGACCACGCTGATGCCCCAGGCTCATGCCGCACCATTCAAGTTCCTGCGGCGCAACCCCGTGTACTGCGGGCTATTCGTGCACCATGTGCGCTCCACGCGCTAGACGAGCGGACTCTTTTACGCGGCGACGCCGGGCGCTCTGCTAGGTGTGGTGCAGCTCTACCACGCGCTCCACAACGAGCGCTTGCTCCCCAAGGATTGCATATGGGACGACCTACAGGAGCTGTGGACGCTCCAGGGCGATGCCTCGTTCTTTGTCGGCGATCCCCCGACGACCAAGGAGGCGTATTTCTCCAACTACAGCCTGAGCATCGGCACGTCCGCCACGCACTGGGCGGCGGCGTCGTCGCGTCGCAAAGGCAAGGGTAAGCAGCCGCCTGTCAAGATTCACAGCGACAACCGACGTAACCTTATGCCCATTGGCTATTTGTCACTGACCGTCAACCACCGCTTCGAACACCCCGGCGCTCGCGTACCGTGGTCACCAGAGGCCGTGCAAGACGTCTTAGTTGAGGGCGTCTCGCGGCGCCACACTGACAGCCGGTCGCGCCTGCAACGAGGAGGCAAGGACAAGGTAGACGTGGCCAAGGCGCGTATCGCGGATTTGTCGCCGGCGGGCCTGGTGCGTGAGGTTGCCGAGGCGATCCAGCACGAGAAGCGTGGTCTGTGCTTTGACTTTTTCATCATGCATAACCAGGTCTGGTCCTTTCTCAAGGTGCTGCGGGAAGCGCTGCAGGCCATTGTGCCGACTATTGCGCAAGGCGGCAGCGACGCAGAGACGCTGCCCTTTGTGCCGGGTTTCTGCTTCTCGGCGGCGGCGGGCAAGAGCCTCGACCGAGCGGTGGTGCCGGTCGCCAACGACGCGCTGCTGCGTACTGCGGCGGACGTGATGGAGATGTTTGTACGCGATGGTGGTGGGAGCGCGGTGAGGATGGCTGCGGATAGAGAAGTGAGCCTCAAGGAAGTCGAGAGCCTTGGGCAGGATCCGTGGAAACTAGGGTAATTAAGCTATCGCTACTTTCATCTAGCTAGAGTAGTTATGTATGGCATGACAACCTGCTCTGAAGGGTCTGTATCTCACAAGTATGAATCTGATAGACTGAGACGAAGGAGAAGATGATCGAACGCGAAATTCTTTAAGTGTGTATCATTATGCTCTCCAGTCAGTTGCTTCAAAGCGGGCAGAGTCATGAGTTTCCTACAAAATTCCAGAACCAGGAGCAAGGCAGCGAGAGGCATGAACATCTCCTCCATGGGCAGCTGCAGTATCTGCATCAGCCACTTACACTCCAAACTAGTTTCGGGCTTCATTTAGGTGTTCACTATAGTAGCATGAGATTGTTGCAAGGTCAGCCAGACAAAACATTCAGATACACCGCAATGTACTGAGCTCGCCACCACGTCGTTTCGGCTCAATGCCAGCCAAACTGAACCGAGAAGGGGTTTCCTCGGGCCACAAAAAAACCCTTTTAAAGAGGAAAATCACAGTATTTAACTAACTCTAGCAGAAATTTATCCTTGTTGTTTGTGGGTCAGGGAGCGCGTTTGTCGTGAACGTGTTGCTCGTCTCTACCCCCACCAACAGCTCTCCGCGTCTTCCCTTGCCACTGCACTTCAAGCTTGTTGTGTGTGGGCGGATATTGAGTCGCACCCGACCAAGTTCCTGGAAGGTGCGTTTGGTGGTTCAAATAAGCCACTTGTACCTAGTCTTGGTCAGGTCATTATTTATTTCCCGGTCTACCTTGCCTTTACGGAGCGTCATGGATTGATCGAATACCCGCATCTTTTTCGCTTTGTTCACCAAGCATACACTACAGACGTCGCAAAGCATGCTTTGTTCAAAATCGACAGCGGAGTCCTGGACGAGGCTCGGATGAGAGGCTTTGTGGCCCAAGCAAGAGCCCGGGCCTCTTGGGTCAACCCGGAAGACAGGATCACGGTCTTGCCTGCGGACATGATTGGCAGTGAGCTGCAGACTGTGGCGGGAGCTTGTGGCCGCAGCGAAGCAGAAATGGCCGTAGCCGGCATGGGAACTATTCATCAATATGGCTCCCCCAACAGCCGCAGTGTCAAGGTTCAAGTAGCCATTCCAAAGCAGCTTGCCGTGCACTATTACAAGAGACAGGAAGATACTCCGACAACCAAGAACCCTTTGTTGACTGGTGGCGGCGCCTTCGATTTCTTTCGAACTGAAGTGTCCTTCTTCGGTGCTTGTACTGATCTGAGCCCCCCATGTGGGAGTTCGACATGACGATGGAGACAGCCGACCACACTCAGGCGTCGCCCGAAGTCGATCTTGCTGACGGCAGTCACGATGGCATGCAAGTCGACGACGCCGCTGCACAGTGTGAGCAGTAAATGACGAGTTTTGGGATGGGAATCGTGGGAATAAAATTGGTGAGTCGGACAATGATTAAAGAGGCTTGGAGATTGGCCGGCGCCGGAGCGGAGCAGGGCCTTGTTATGGCGATTGATTCGGAGCGAAAAGGTATGGAAGGGTTGGAAGCAGTGGAATGACGGAACCAAGATGAAATGTTTGGTATATTGTTTGAGAAAAGCAGCGCGATACCGGTCGGTTCGTTAAACTTGGTAAATCAAGGAATAAGATGGTTACTACAAATTTCGTTGAATGGCACTTTCACTGATTCATTTTTTTTATTGAAAATTTTCATAAATAATCCTTTAAAGAAGAATCGTAATTGTATTTAAAGATATACAATCGTTTCCTTTGCTTTCCCTTATTATGCATCCTCAACCGCCTCACTTTTATTGTTCTCTGGTTGGCTGCCTGCAGACCAATGCAATAGCGATTGCGCGCTGCTCATGGACTACCCCCAACGGCAGAGAAAAGAGGCAACAACTCTACAAAGTAGTTGTCTTTCTTTTGTTGACCGAAGCCCTCACCTTTGTCAAATTTTCGTCGCCACCATTCCGCGGCCAGCGACAAGATGCTAATAGGTACCCGTCGTCGCGCAGAATAGGGTAGCATCGCATTGGCGGGTTGGTCCGGGTCGGGGTCATGACGGGGTTGTTTCCCCCTGTGCCTGTTTCGTCCGGAACTGACCAGGCACGGATGCATTTTATGCAAGCACATCACCTTGGCATCGTGAAGCCGACTGGGCGCAGTGTCTTGTTTAGCGGAACTATAGGATGACTGCTGTTTCGAGTGCGCCTCAACGTGTTGAGGCTTGCTTTTTGGACAGGTTCTGCAGCGGAGCGGAACGATGGGCGCATCCGTCAAATCATCAGATAAATTGCAAAAATCAGATAAATTATAATACTGGATTCGGGATGCCGGGATGGTGGGCGACATTGTCAAATTTTGCGAGGCCGGGATAGTTCCAGGCTATCCTGGCATCGGCTTGCAGCTAGCTAATGTAGGCAAAACGGGCCTCGAAATGCGGATTGGTTATTATTACCATTAGTACAAATTACACCTGGCTGATTTCGTTTCTGATTAGGAGAGGCGCGTTGTGAGTTGGACTAGTTAATACCAACGGCTAGCTAGTAGGTAATAGCTACTCGTTTCTGGTACGTGCCGCCGGCTGACTCCGTTTGGCCTGTGCCGTTTGATCTGCTTCGACCAGCCTCTCCCTCCCTCATCATCCTATCCTATTACTTACCAACATCATCACCAAGAACAATTCGCATTTGCCGCCCGCGACATTGAGGCGCCCCCGTTATTATAGACAGGTGCATATATCGTTCGCCCCGTGGACCAGCGCCCGCCCATCCCTGCCTGCCTCGCCCGCCCGCCGCCAGAAACAGAGTCCGAGCTCAGCTCCCGCGAGTCCCTGATTTGCACCCGGCAAGTCCAGGGCGCCACGCACAGACTTTTGGGCGTGCCTGGCTTCTATTTTGGATCTGCGAAACAAACAATTCTCTGCAGGAAGCAAAAAAAAAAGAACAAGGCAAACCGGCACCGTGTGCATCCCCCTCTGTCGTGCAGTAGTCTGGCATGCACGCTGCTGTCGGCGCCGTCGTCTGCGCATCGCGATTCGCCCGTCCTCGTCGTCGAGTCCCAACTGCTGCATCGCTAGCTGCGCGACCTGCTGCATCCACTGGACAGACCTGAGAGACACCACCACCCCGTCTTGTCCCCATTGTGGCTCGCTGCGCTCTCGTCCCTCCTTGCATCATGGACCGCGATCCGCTCGACGGTCCCCCTATCGCCGTCCCGACACGAACGCACTCGCAACATCTTGCTCACCACCGCTCCAACAGCAACCGTTCTAACCTCGCCTCTCCCGTTCCCCAGCCGAAGCCTGTCGCCAGCCCCGAAATCATCACCGACCTCATCTCCAGTCTCACCACTTCCCACTTCGACTCGCTGTCCCTTACCAGCCCGTCCAGTCCCGCCCGCCTCGACAGTCGCACCGGCTTGGACATAATTGATCCCATACACGACGTGGCCGCCTCGCCCGTCATCCGCACCGCAAAGCCCCCTTCCGGCTTCTCCTCCCTCACCTCACCAAAGAGCCCCCGAGCATCCTCCACCGACGGCTTCCGACCTCACTTTCGTCCTGCCAGCCTTTCTCGCGCCTCCTCCTCCGCCTCCCTCACCTCTCGAAACGATGATGCCAAGAGCATAGGCAACCTCTCCATAGAACCAGGCCCCGCCCCTGACCCTGAGCTGCGTCCGCGCCGCTCCCACGACAGTTGGGGCAAAAAGGCTGGTCGTCGCCAAAAAGACATGCTCTACATGAGTTCCAAGGAGCGCCTTCGTGAAAAGGATCTCGACCGCAAGTGGCCTGGTGCCGTCATGCCGTCCGCCAGCGGTGCCAGCAGCATCCACAGCGGCGGCCGAGCCGATCCCTTTCTCGCTGAGACGGCCATTAGTGAGGAGCCAGGCCTGACCAAACCGCGCTATTCGAGCGACTCCTACAACGGCTTCCAGGCCATTCCTACTCGCGAGTCTAGCCTGCGAAAAACGGCACCCAAGAAGCGCTCCAGCGCCCGTCGGTCGAGGCAAGGCAGTGAATCAGATTTGATACCCGAGGGTGCTGAATACAACCGCGGTGGTGCCTCATCACGCGCGAGCCATAAGCGCGGCGAGTCTGAGGCGGGTCGCTCCTTTCTCTTTGACGTGGACGAGTACGCTGCCGTGACCCAAGCTCTTGACGACCAATACGAGCGTGAGAATGGCCGCCCAGAGCCGTTGCCCGATTACCTGCAAAGGTCCTTTATCCACGATATTGACCACGAGGCTGCCCCGGCCCCGGCCATCTCCAACGGTCGCCGAGCGTACGAGCGAGAGCATAGCAATGGCCGCTTAAGCCCGTTTCCTTCTGTCGACCTACGCGGAAGAAGCAGCGGCTCCGGCACCGGCTCCGGCTCCAAGCTGAAGCGCCTCTCGGTTGGCCCGTTGCCGATGAGCCCGTCACGCACGAGTGAGCAGTCGGACAGGACAGCGCACACGATTGCGTATGAGCGGCCCGCCTCGGCAGATTCCATCGATGACAATGTCGAGTCGTACTTGTGCTCGCCAAGGTTGTCGCAGAAAATCAAGCACCCGCAGACCGGACGAGTCATTTCATTTTCCGAAGTGGGCGACGCCGAGGGCTCGGCTGTCTTTTGCTGCGTCGGCATGGGACTAACCCGGTACATTACCACATTTTACGACGAACTGGCGTTGACCTTGAAGCTGCGTCTTATTACACCTGATCGTCCCGGCGTAGGTGACAGTGAGCCCTACACCGACGGCACAACAACACCCCTAAGCTGGCCAGGTAGATTCCCTCTTCTCTTCATGACCTCTTCATCATGACATCTTCATCGTGACGACGCTAACATCTATAGATGACGTATATGCCATCTGCCAGGCCCTCAAAATTACAAAATTCTCCATCCTCGCCCACTCGGCAGGCGCCATCTACGCCCTCGCCACCGCCCTGCGTATGCCACAGCATATTCGTGGCAAGATTCACCTCTTGGCGCCCTGGATCCCCCCCTCGCAGATGAACGTCTTTGGATCCTCACAAGAGCCACCCACCCACGCGCTCCCCACATCCCAGCGGATCCTCCGCGCGCTCCCCACGCCGATCCTCAAGGCCGCCAACAGCAGCTTCATGAGCGCGACGAGCTCCTCCATCACCAGCTCGCTGCCCAAGACGACGCGGCGGAGCAAGCGCAAGAGCAACGGCAAGGAGAACCGCAACGGCACGGCCTCGGACCACCCCGACATGGGGACCCTTGACGGGGATGCGCGCCCTGTCCCGACGCCGACTGCCACGGAGAACATGGACCGCATGCACCCGCCGTCGAGCAGCCTTTACGCGGGGCCGGGCCTGGAAGAAGCGGCGGGGAAGGAGCGACAAGTGGCGTACGACACGCGGCTGACGCACGCCATCTGGGACCTGGCCACAACGGGCGCGCACCCGGCCGTGGACCTGCTCGTGTGTCTCGAGCGGCGCCACACGATTGGCTTCCGCTACGTTGACATTACGCGCCCCGTCGTCATCCACCACGGCAGCAAGGATAATCGGGTGCCGGTGGACAATGTCAAGTGGCTGGGCAAGAGCATGCGGCGGTGCGAGGTGCGCGTGCTCGAAGGGGAAGGCCACGGGCTCATGGCGAGCGCCAACGTCATGGGCTCTGTGCTCATGGAGATGAGCAAGGAGTGGGAGGACTGGATGCGCGTGACGGGAGACGACTCGCGGCAGCGTGAGCGCGGACGCCGAATGGCCCAGCGGTGAGGTGGATGAATGCAATTGAATGTAATGGGTTGCTTTTGATTTGGATCATGGTTTCATGTTTGGATATCCCCACGATCTACATGTTAATTTTCTCACGGCACTGACGAGGCCAGTTTAATTTTCTTCTTTCCGGGCGGGTTGTTAGGGTTAATTTTTTGTATTTGGGTATATTGCGATGTTGGAAAGCGCCTTGTATTATTTTTTAAAGACGCGGCTGGTTTATTACACCTCTTCTTAACGCGTCTCTTTTTATTGCACCTCTTCTTAACGCGTCTCTTTTTATTACACCTCTTCTTAACGCGTCTCTTTACCTCGTGCACCGCCAGTCCTGTCCCAACTCGTAGAAGCTCTTCATCATGACTTCCAACACGGCTCTCAACCCCCCTCGGCCAAGACGCGCGTCCAGTCATACTTGCGCCACTCCTTCTGCCACCCCTCGACCCTGTGATCTCCCCGCCGCCACCGTCCCTGCTTCTTGGCCACCTGTGGCTCGGCATCGACGATGCCGGCAATGACCTGCCGCGCAAACAAGTCCCCGCGGGGCCAGCGCGCCGCGTCCTCGACCACATGCCCAAGCCCGCCATCGAGCGTGAACCAGACGTGAAAGTACGGCATCTCCTTCGCGAGGGACCTGCGAAAGGCCATGCGCCCGAGGCCGGCGTCGCGCGCGCGCGCGCCAGTATCGATAATCTTCTGGTGCTGCGCCCACTCCTCGTCGGCGGCGAGCAGGGCCTCTTTGAAGAAGGCCGGGGCGACGGCGCCCTGCTCGTAGGGAATGGGCACGGCGTGCAGGGCGGCGTGCAGGTGGCGGTGGGGGGCGGCGGCGTTTTCGTAAAAGAGCACGTCGCGGCCCTGCGCGTGGTACATGCGCGTGAGGCTCTTCATGAAGTTGCGCAGCTCCTCCCACTCGTCGTCGTCGCACTCGAGCAGGTTGCGGCGGTGCGTCGTCGGCACGATGACGGCGCTGCCGGGCGACACCTCGGGCTCGGTGGCGAGCGTGAGGAACACGCGCGTGGCGAGCGCGAGCACGGGCGCGAGCGGCGGCGTCTGCGTGTCGTCGTGGCGGCACAGCGGGCAGCTGTCCAGGATGCGGTTTACTTTCTGGAACTCGTGCACGGCCGTGTTTTTCAGGTTGGCCTCGCTCTTGTGGACTCTCGTTGCGAGCCGCTCCGCGTTCTCGTCCATGTACGCGAGGTCGTCGTCGAAGCGGCCGTCTTTGGCGATGCGCTCGGCGAGACGCATGCCCTCGCCGCCGGCCTGGCCCTTGGTGCGGCGCTCCTCGCGCAGCATGTCGTCGACGGACATGTCGTCGTTGGCGACGACGGTGCCGCGCGCGCGCCCGCGTTTCGTGTCCACGGCGGATACCTCGTTGCGCACGTGGCCCGCGAGCAGCCGGCTGTCCTGGCCGCCGAGCACGACGGCCGAGGAGGACGCGGGGGTAAAGGCCGCGGCGGCGCGGTTGTACTCTTCTTCGAGCTGGGCCGCGTTGGGCGCGCGCCGGAGCTTGGCCTTGATCATCTGCGCGCGGAGGCGGTTCAGCGCCGTCTGGTCCATGGGCGCGACGACAGGCGCCGCTGGTGGTGTGGCGGCGACCGGTTCCAGCGGTGCAGGGGCGGGCGAAGGCGGCTTCTGGTTCGCAGGACGCTCCTTGTAAAAGTCGCCCGTCGGCTTCTCCTTCATCGCGTAGCCCTTGCCGTAGCTACTCGCGCGGTCCAGCTCCTGCTTCTCCTCCCTGGCCTCGTCGAATTCGCGTAGACTGCCGAAGCGCTCCAGGGCCACCTCGTCGACCGGCCGCCCGGTGTCGTCGGCGACGGTGTAGACGCCGCGCAGCTTGGTCATGCGCCAGCCGGAGCCCGCGTCGCCAAAGGAGTAGTCGACCACGCGCTCTTCTGCCTCGGGGGCGGGAGGCGCGGGCCCGCGGTTGATTTCGCGGACAGACACGACACGCGCCGGTTCTTTCGGGGGTGTCTTTTCTTTGGGTGGCGGGCGGTGGATGTGCTCCATGGCGAGGGCCGAGGGCGCCGTCATCCAGGCGTCGCGGACAGGCGCGCTGCTCGGTTCGTCAGAGGGCGTGTCTTTTGCTTCTTTGCGTCGGTCGCTGCGGTGGCGGTCCTTGTCGTGTCGGGAGTCATCGTGGCCGTCGCGCGATCGCCGCCGCCGCTTGTGTTTGTGGTCGTCGTCGTCGTCGCGGTGGCGCCGGCGGGAGCGGTCGCGGTGGTGTCTGTGGTGGTGCTTTTTGCGGTCGTCGGGCCGCTCGCGCTGGGCTTTTTCGGCAGCGAGGTTCTTTTCGAATTCGTCGAGGCCGTCCATGATGTGTGTGTGGGTGAAGTTGCGAATGTTGAAATCTGGAAGCTGGAGAAGGCTAAAGTTGCCCCACCAGCTAGATTAGTGACGTGACTACTTGGGGTGCATTCTTTATCAAGGAACAACAAATATAAAATCGATGAAATGTAGTAAAAGTCATGAAAGTCGACATGTTCATTATTTGTATATTCTCATGTATTTTCGGTCTAGCACTTGACGCGGCGGTACTGCACGACCTCGTCCCGACCAAAGACTCGCTCCGTCTCTATTCGATATCCTCTTAGACGAGGAACTAGCTGTATCCATACCGCCCAATATAAAACGCCGGACATTAATACTGCAAGACCCAGGAGGGGAAAGAGGAAAAATGAATCTGGACTGATGGACGCCACGGAGGGCGGAATAAAAGGTCCGATGATCAAGAAGCCGTTGAGGAGCAAGAATACAACGGAAATGGGCAGATACGTATGCCACGGTGACTTCCAGCGCTCTGCTTTATTCCACTGCAGATAGATGAGACCAACTGTGAGAAGCAGGTTGATCCATGCGCGAGGATATACAGATCTGTCTTGTTAGCTTGTCACATGCCTTCCTTGGATGTAGTAGCCGTTTCTCAGGCTCCTTCTCCGGGGCTGAGTATGTTGCCAGGAGCACTTACAGTTCTATGATGGCCTCGTATGATTGGCCGAGTGGTGGTGCAACAAGCACTATAACCGTTACCAGCCAGTGCAGGAAGAGCTTATCCGTTAGCAACACTCAAGATGGATCGGTACAGGTCACACGTACCGACGCCGCCGGGGCATTCAAGGGCTTATTCGACGCCCAGAACCTGCCAAACGGCAGTATCCTCTCCTTGCCGAGCTCCTGGTTGAGGCGGGCGTGCGCAAAGCTCGTCGCCAAGACGCTGCCCAGACTGCTGACGGCGACAAACACGGGCAGCGTCTTGGCCGCGGCGTCGTCGCCAAACATGTTCTTGAAGAAGAGCGCGGCGACCAGCACCTCGGACGCGGCGATATCCAGCTTCCTGACGGCCGCGAAGTATGCGATATTGGCGAGCATGTACAGCACCGTCACGGTGCCGACGGCCAGCGGCGCCGCAATCGCCAGCGTCCGCCGCGGGTTCCGCACCTCGCCCAGGACATAGTTGGCGCCCTCCCAGCCGCCGAAGCTGTACACGATGCCCAGCAGCGCGCCGGCGTAGCCGCGGAACCCGCCGCTGCCGTACCGCGCCATGTCGGCCGCGGAAAACGAGTGCTCAAAGTTGTGCGGGTCGTCGGTGCCGCGATAGCCCGCCAGCGCGGCCACGCCGGAGAAGGCCACCACGAGCATCACCAGCACCTTGAACACGCCGACGAGGTTCATCAGCCGCACGCCCCAGCGCGGGAGCGCCCCGTGC